CCTTGGCCTTGTTCTGTTGCTTTCCTGCAGGCGAAAGATGAGCGTTGCTGTGGGGCTTGCGCTTCTTGTAGGCCTTCCAGATTGTCACGATCTCATCCCACTTGGGCTCGTAGTCCATGAGACTCATGCACATGAGGTCTCCCAGCCGTGCGTCCTTCAGTGAGCCTCTCTACCACGACTTGATTATATTCTGCCTGGAGAACCCCCGCTCGCACTCCACGGTGCTCAGCGGCAGGACAGCTACCGCCACCCACAAGTGAACAAGGTTGGGGTAGTTGTCCCGCCAGTCAGGTGTGTTGAGCATGGCTGTGAGCCCCGCGTGGAAGCTGCGCTCGCCCTTGGTAGAGGCTACAAGCACCGAGGTAAACATGCGCAGCTCCTTCTCCGCACGGTGCTTGTTGACTCCTGGCGGGGTTGGGAAAAGGATTAAGAGAACAGAATGAGTAAACAGTCATTGCAGTGTCGCACAGAACACAGAGGATCGAGCCAGCGATTTTTAAAGGCACACACAAAAAGGCTTGCCTGGCACGATCTCTTCCGTCAGGTCGGCCTTGAACAAAGTGACCAGCGACTGTAGCCACTGAAGGCACCTCCGTTTCCTCTCGACTCGATCCAGCGGGTACTCGTCAGGCAGGAACAACTTCACCCCGGACATCCCATCCAGGTCGCCAAGCCGATGCTCGAGTTGGTGAATAATCACCTCCGCAAACTCTGTGCACAATTCCACACAGTCATCATGGGTCCCGGGCCCTTCCCACTCCTCCAGCTCGTCCTCATGCAGCATGAATTTGAAGCGTGCTGGACGGCAGCCTGAGTCAACCCCTTCGACTTTCACCTCCCGGTTTCCTCCTGGCCCATGGCGCACGATGAAGGGGGACAGCAGCTCGCTCACGCCACCACCGAAGTCGTCGCCGCAATCAACGTAGCGGCTCTCGATGTGGGACGTTGTGCGCTTGATCTGCGCATGCCACTGGCATAGTCAAGCTGGACAGGAAACAAAGAAAGGTAGTAAGTGTATGGTCACGGTTAACATACAGGAACAAAGCATAATGACGACTGCAACAAAACATTAACAGAAACCTATGGCCAAGCTCACCTCCTTGTGCTGGAACACCCGGTTCAGGATGTTGAGCTGCTCAAGCATATCAGCAATAAAGAAGAGAAGGAAATGAAACTTGTAACTTGTAACAAGAGCATAGAGGTTCGCGTCCCACTCCTTAAGCATCACGATGAGTGCCGGAAGCACCGCGACAAGCCTGAGCACTGCGTCGCCCCGCGAAAGCCATCGGACGGAATGAATGCCCTGGAGCTCAAGAGAGGTGGACGCGAAGACCTCTTGGAGCCCCATGAACCGTTGATGCCACGGCCCCGAACGGCCGAGATGCTCTGCCACGGTGCGAATCACCGTGTCAATGACACTGAACGCTGGAACTTTCTCGGCCGCCGTTTTAGCCACGAGTGCCTCTCTGTACAAAAGACGAAAACAACTTAAGTACATCGGGAAAGACACAGACGTAAAAGACGCAACACAAGTGATGGGGAGTACACATACATACATACCTGTGCGCGATACAGTGTGAAGACACGAGATGGGGGATGCGCAGTCGGAGGCGTGTGGTGAGGCCGGACTTGCTGCCCATCATAACGTTGGCACCGTCCGTGCTGATCCCCGCTATGCGCTGAAGGTCGACCCCGACAGCCTGCAGATGTGACACCAGAACACTGAGCAGGGAAGCTGCATCGGCCTTCTCCACGGTGAGTAGCGTCATGAACTTCGTGACAAGCTTGTTGTTACGGATGAAAGAGATGAAGATGATTAGGTGCTTCCCGCTGCACCTATCCGTGCTCTCGTCGATCGAGATGCCGACGAAGGGCGACGCCAAGACGTGTTCCAGCTGAGTTGTCTGGAGCCATGTCGCAGTCGCTTGCGTCAGCTCACCGAAACCGTATCTGCATGCACATAGAGATAGTAGTGAGAACATTATCCTCGGAACTAAACATTGACACGTCAAAGTGCATTAAATAAATTGTGGCAGTTGCACTCACGTGGTGTAGTAGGTGCCGTACCCCTTCTTCGGGAAGCCAGGCACGCCCTTCTCCGCCAGGTAACGCACCAGCTTCACCCACATCCCCATCGGCGCATCGGACCTGCTGATGAAGAGCAGGGAGTCGAGAAGGGCGACGGCGCGCGACTGCTCTGCGTCCATGGTGGCGCGGTGGTGGTCGATCTGCGGCTGCCTCTCTCCGCACTCCTGCACAGCTGTTTGTCTCGCCATCGCCAGCTTGTGCTTCGCCGTGCACGCGTGCTTACGAAACGACTGGGTCTGCAAATCCGTGGCCCTTTCCCGCGTCTCCCGCACTTGCCTCCGTCGCCAGCATAAGCTGCACAAACAGTACACTTGAAGGCAGGCAAGCCGGATGTGGTTTTGGTGATTTGCAGCCAGGGAAACCGTGCTTGCCACTGACTCTTGAACTTGTCAATGGCATCATCGTATAGCCCTTCAATGAGCTCGGTCAGGTTTATGGTGAGGCGAGGACGCGGACGCTCGGACGAGCCAGGAGAATTGTTGACGTTGGCAGTCAAGGAAGAAGGCTTGGCGAAGCTCAAGGTCGCCTGCTTGAGCCGGACGGTTCGCTCCGTGGTCTGAGTGGGATGGTGCGATGCCGAAATGACAGGTGGTTCCGCACGTATCTCTGCCACAGGGTCGGGATTTGAGAGCACGGGAGCTGGAGGTTCCTTCGAGGTGGGGATAGAATCGGGCTCCGCGCGTGCTGCCTTCTCGAGAGCTAGGTGACTGAGAAACAAATCTAGGCCTGTTAACGCAGGACGAGAATCAGGGTCGTCATCATCTGCGGTTGCGGGATTGTCGGGCAGAGCCATGGCGCGTGTCTGAGAGAGCCTGCCGAGCAGGAACGAGAGGTTCTGAGGCTACTGAACTGGGTAGTGTATGGGCCCAAAGAGATGAAGCTGAGCTGAGGAATGGCAATAAACCCTAGGTTGTAGAGGATGGCCCTATAACTGACTGTGGGCCATCCATGCCTCTGATGGGTGGTTGCCTAGCATGCACGGCAACGACGAGGTGCATCTGCCGTGCACTGCTGTGAGGATTACATCGTGTTGGTACACGATGCTGCCAAAGGGACCAATCAACGATTCTTCTTGGCAACGTATGCTTGCCAACACCTTTATGTGGGTGGCAACTGCTGCAGCATGTTGGACCGTGGTGGTGGTGGTGGAGTCCGTTGGCAGTCAAGAGCTGCCAACGGACCAATCAGTGCTCTAACAGAGTGTGAGCTGGAACTTACACCGCGGGAAACTTCGCGCCGCAGGGCGGGGGAAAACTGTACGAGGGAAACATCGCGCCGCAGGGCGGCGTCGCCCACAGAACTTCTCAGTTGGCACAGATTTCGCGTGATTGACGGTACAGGTACAATGTACCACCGCTAATCCTGGGTGTTGGCGCACAGGTACATTCAATCAGAGTCGGTACTCGTTTGTACTCTGAATTCCTCAGAGTACACTCCCGGGAAACTCTGAAATCTCAGAGTCAGCATATAAAGTAGATCTGATTTTATAGAGTTAAGGCTATAAAAACTCTGAATTTCACAGAGTACACCCAAAAAAATATCTGAAATCTCAGACATTTCCAAGCAAATCAGACAAATTTCTCTGACTTCTGAGGGCCTGCATCCATGTTTCCCCCTCGTCTGGCATGATATCAACCTGCCAGACATGAACATGCATGTAGTCTAGCCCTTGTACATTTTTCTAAATGGGTGTTTCTGTACAGATAACTAATCGCTTCGTTCTGGCCTGGAATGGGGAAGACTTCAATGGAATACCACCTGCAGAGGGTATGAAATTTCTCTGTAGGAAATGGTTGCTTTGTTTGTGCAAGACATTTGATTTAATTGTTGTTTTCAATAACACTAGATTTGAGAACACTTTGTCTTAGCTCACATGCCACCACACGATACATCAACCAACACAACAGCCTTGTCTTAATGTCACATGGTCGGGCGAGGAAACGAGGTCCTAGCTTTCTGCTTCTTCCTCCTCCCCTTGGTCCTTGTTGCCTTGTGCAAGAAGAGAATGGGCCTGGACCCTGGTGCTTTCCACTCCAACACTTGGAACATTGTCCTGTTCAATGATGGGGCTACGCAACAGTGTAGCGGAAAGAATGAAAACGGGTTTGCCATCCCCTTGTCACTGACAAGCAATAACTAGGGCTGAATTGGAATGAGAATGCTGGTAAGGGTTGTGGTGGAAAGAGAACAGTGGTGAGCTGCATGAAGTGGATATATTACAACATTTGACGTCTAACAGGCCAGGCGGGTACGCATTGGGCTGCCCATTTCCCGTCGCCCCATACTCCTTACTGCATGCTTCGAGTGCCAACAGCTGCAGCATCGACAACACTCACCTAAAGCTCGTTATTGCATGCTTCGGTTGCCCAGAGCTGCAGCAGTGACAGCACTTACCTCATACTCGTTATTGCATGCCATGGATGGTGCTGCAGGGAGAATCGCACCTTCTGAGGCAATTCGCAAGTCGCTTCGTTCTCATTTTCCTCTCCAGTTTGTTTGCTCACAACGGAACCGGCAGCTGGTGTAGAGAGCTTCAGCTTCAGTGACGGAGACAAGGAAAGGTGAGGAGAGGAGAGGAGCGTGTGTGAGGGAGGAAAGTAGGGGAGTGCTGGGGAGGGAGAGTAGGGGAGCGGAGGGGCGGTGGTAAGTGGGCAGAGGGAGGTGCAGCAGGTGCAGCAGGCGGGGGAGAATGGCGTCGATGCGAGCTCGGATGGTGATGTGTGCATGGCGGTCGAGAGGGGTGCGCTGAAGGTTGATGACCACCAGGAGGCTTGCCAGGCGGGGCAGCTTGCTGGCTGGTGGCACATGGTGGGGGTGAGGAGAGGGAGAGAAGCAAGAGAGGGGGGAGAACGGCATCAACGCGAGCTCTGATGGTGATTGAGGCATGGCGGTCGAGAGGGGTGCGTTGGAGGTTAACGATGACCATGTGGGTTGCTAAACGAGGGAGCTTGCTGGCTGGTGGCACCTGGTGGGGGTGAGGAGAGGGAAGGAGGGAGGCAGGGAGGGAGGGAGGGTAAGCAGGCAGGGGGAGGTGCAGCAGGCAGGATAAAACGGCATAGGTGAGAGCTCGGATGGTGATGTGTGCATTGTGGTCGAGAGGGGTGCACTGAAGGTTGATGATGACCAGACAGGTTGCCAGGCGGGGGAGCTTGTTGCTGGTGGCATCTGGTAGGGTGAGGGGAGAGCATGAAGTGATTAGCCACTTTTGAAGCGACTCAGGGGAGAGAGGAGTGGGCAATCATCCAATTATGCTGCCCCAATGACCTCCTTCCCTTCCAAATTTCTCACGCTAGGCTTCTTCTATGCCCAGGTTCTTCAGCCTTTTCTATGCCCAGCTTCTTCTATGCGTGATTGGATAGCGACTTCCTGTTTATTGTCTTATGCACGATACAGATCGCGTTGAAGTGGCTCAAAACTGTGGCAGTTCAGACAAACGGACCTGAATGTCGGTTACGAGAATTCCCAAAAGATAACTCAAACGCACCTTGAAGGAGGAGCCAAGGCAGAGCGCCACATGTGCGCCCATGCTTGCCTCCCTCGCCTTACTCAACTCCGCATCGTCCATCCTCTCCCCGAAGTGCACTATCGAATCCACCAACTCGCCCCCACACACGCCTCTACTATCACCCTTCTCCTTTCCGCCTCTACTATCACCCTTCTCCTTTCCTCCCTCCTCCTCCCCTCCCTTACTTCCTCCTCTTCCTCCCCACTCTTTTTCTCCTCAAATTGCTCCTCCTCCCACGCTCCAAGGTGGAAAAAAACGGTTGCGATAAAAAACGATTGAAAAGAACGATCGTTTTTTACGGTCAGGTTTGGGAAAAAAACGTCGTTTTTTTGTAAGACCCAAATTTTATTTTAGAAAAAAAAAAAAAAAAAACAACAACTAAACAAATCCACAGCCACCTACACTCTCTGGCAAGTCAGTGCTGATGAGTTTCCTAGCCTGATTGCAATTAAAATAAAACATAGAAATGTCGTTACTAATGTCACTAATGTCCCATGCGTTGGACCCCCCGCCCTCCTCCTCCTCCTCCTCCTCCTCCTCCTCCTCCTCCTCCTCCTCCTCCTCCTCCTCCTCCTCCTCCTCCTCCACCTCCTCCTCCTCCTCCTCCTCCTCCTCATCCTCATCCTCATCCTCCTCCTCCTCATCATCGTCTTCGTCAGCCGAACGCTTCTTGGTCGCCTTTTCCTTGATTCCCTTTGTCACCTCTTTCTTCTTCCTCATCCCGATGCTGCCAAGAGCTTCCCAGTCAATCACGCAATCGACATCACCTTCTTCCTCTTCAACCCGTGGTTCAGAGCCTTCGGCCTGTGGTTCAGAGCTTTCAAGTGCCGTCGTCGTCACTCTTTCTAGAGTGCTCTCGTTGAGCTTGCCTGCTGCAAGGTCTGCAAAAAGGTTGGCGCGCACTTCCTGCTTCTTGTCGAATGCAGCCCTCGAACGCCTACTGAATGCCACCGTGGTGACATCGATCATGGTCTGAGCGCTCAATCTGTTGCGATCCCGCCGCTGCACCCTTGCCATCGTAGACCAGCATCTCTCAACTTCCGACGCAGTGATAGGCTGTGATAACATTCTCACAGCCAAATCCTGCAGCTCGGGGAGTTCCCCTCCATACATCGCCCACCAATCCGCATGTGAGAGACGTCCACTCTCCACGAGCATCGCTGCGGCCCGTGCATCTTCCCCCCCCAGACGACCCTCACCTCTGTGGTACGTAGCAAGCTGGGCTTGCAGCAAGATTCGGCCTTGCACGTCACCTCCTCGTGCCTGCAGCACCGCATTGACCCCTTTGATGATCTCGGGGTCGTTGCGGACTTCCATCGCGAGCTGGTTCTTCGGGTTAAGGAGCCAGCCGAATGCATGCATCGGGTTATGCAACTGCTTATCCCATCTGCGCACGATGATGCCTTTGATGGCCGCCAAAAACTTCGACCTCTTCTTCCCGGCGAGCACTTGGCTGTGACGCCTGAAGAATGTCGCTGCAAAGAAAGACATAATACCATTAGGCCACGAATCTGGTTTGGCTTAGGGTGCACTTGTAATGGGTGTTCAACACTGCTTACTTGCTCCCTCTACCGCCTCATTGACCGCCACGGTCGCCTCGAGCATCATCCCGTATATAGATCCCATCGCAAGAGCCCTTGTGTCGACTGCTCGTAGCACGTTGTAGATCGGCATCATCAGTTTCTGCACTGATTTGACCGATTCCCAGAAGATATCATCCAGAAGGAGCTTCCGGATTTTCTTCGCATCTTCGGTCTTAGACACAGCCACCTCCTTCCATTGGTCACTGATGACCAGCTGGCGAAGCTGTTCCTTGACCTCCAAGAACCGGGTGACCATGATCACATGCGTGCCAAATCTGGTGGTACCTGGCCGAACAAGCTCCAGCTTGCTGAAAATCGTGTGGAAAAGGGCAACAAAGCTCGCACTTCCCTTGACCATCATCACGATGCGATGGACCTGGGTGAGAACTTTCTTCACAATGACGATGTTACCCATGTCGTGGAGCATCAAATCGAGACAATGGGCAGCACAGTTGGTGAAGAAAATCGACGGGTAACCCTCACCGAGAATGGCGGCAGCACTCTTGTATTACTTGCGTTGTCCATGACCACCTGAATCACCTTGTTGTCCCCCACCTTCACGATTGACGTCCTTATGAGATCAGCCAGGTATGATCCTGTCTTCTTCGACAACTTGGAATCGACGATTTTGACAATCACTGGTGCAGTGTCGCTGTGCGCCAACACACACACCAAGCCGCGACTCTTCAGGCACGACCATCCGTCGACGGAGATGGTGCACGACGTCGTTGCCCAAGAATCTGTCAAGGGCCGCACGAGTTCTTCCGTCTCTGTCTTCAATCTGGCGAGCAATGGGCCCGCGACTTTGTAGGCAGACGGGAGTGTGTAGGGTCTCCTAAAACTCACTAACGCGTTCAGAAAGTTTTGGACCGCTACAGATCTGTGGGGTGTGGTATGAATGCCAGCAAAGCATAAAATGAACAAGGTGAGGAGGAGCGTTGCAGCAGCAGCCAAATCATGATGGGCATGAATCTGCAGCAGCCATGAGGTGAGCGCAATTACACCATACCAAATTAACACGTAACATGGGGAGGGAAGAGGTCCACGGAAGAAACATGGCACAAGGGTTAAGCGTTTCCACTCACTCAGAGACCCGAAACGCCCAATCGTTTTCTGCCACCGCAGTCACCCATAGCAGATCGAGTTTGTCACGGCCCTTTTCGTCCGTCACGTCACGGGTGTCGAGCTGGCGGCCCTTCTTAGGGCCGTTCCCCACCAAGGATGTTGAGCTGCTCCGATTGCCCGAAGACGTTGCACTCTTGAGGCGGAGATTCACCGCAAAGTAAGACTTACATACCCCTATGTTTTTCGGCTGACCTTTCTCGATCCCTAAAATGTGGTCTCTGATTCGTGTAGCGCTTGCAGGAATGACAGCGGGTTTGTCCTTAGGCCAGTGAATGCACACATAGACGTCTTTTCCGTCTTTGTCAGTTACCTCCTTCACGTGGTCCCACATTTCAGATCGTGCTCTAGGCATTGTGGATGGAAAAGGGGCCTACTCGAACAAGAACTGGCTAGAATGGACGTGGAGTGGTGTGGTGGCTACTAATAACAACAGAAATCGTCCGTCGGCAAACAGCTTGCATCTTTGCTGGGAGTCAGCGTTCACGCCGGGCGTTGGATACTATCAGAGAGATTGGGCGTGCTACGCACTAGTCCCGTGGAATTCGTGTCGGACACCACGAATTCAGAAATTGCGTTACGGGAAGTGAAAAGTGGGTAAGACGTGGCAACACTTGGAAGTCACGTCGCAAACCCAAGTGATAAAGTTTCGCTGACGTGCAGCAACATAATATCATGTCGCAAATGCAACTGTAGTTCTTCGCAGCGCTGCAATCCTAAGTGCTCTGAGGCTTTTATGACGCGCGCGAAAAAAGCGAGTGCAAACTTTTCCGTGCGAAACATTTTTCACGTCGCAACCAACCCTAGCATGACGAATTGATCTGTGCGTCAACTACCTGCGGTTCGAGGAACAAACAGAAGCAATACAGATGTACAACTTGGCACGTCGCGTCGCACGCCCTGACATTCGAGCTTCGCACATGCACGAATTCTTTTTTAAGGGTGCGCGAAGTGGCCTCGAGGCTTTGCGAAATGAGCGAGAGCAGGGAAGCGAAGTGTTGGCATGCCGCGCCTACCTGCGGCCCCGTCGCCACCTGTGGCCCCGTCGCCTACCTGCGGCCCCGTTGCCACCTGCGGCCCCGTCGCCTACCTGCGGCCCCGACGCCACCTGCGGCCCCGTCGCCTACCTGCGGCCCCATCGCCACCTGCGGCCCCGTCGCCACCTGCGGCCCCGTCGCCTACCTGCGGCCCTGTCGCCTACTCGCGGCCCCGTCGCCTACTCGCGGCCCCGGCGCCTACTTGCGGCCCCGGCGCCTACCTGTACGGCCCCGGCGCCGACTCTGCTATCAAAACTTGAACGAGAATGATCAAGTTTAACTAGGGCCTAGGCTTAGGAGCCTAGGCCCAACTAGGATGTCGAGTGGTTTTGTGCCAAGGGTGAGGATGGAGAGAATTGGGAAGAAGAGGTTTCACTATAGGTTTCAAGGAACATATAGCATAGGAAATAAAGAAGGTGCACCACCAAACTAGGTTTATAATAACTACACTAACTACAGCTACAGGCAGTTACAAATATAAGTTCTGACACTCCCCCATAACTGCCTGCAGCAGGAGTTTGTGCAGAATACAACCTGCAGGTGTACACATGCGACAGCAGGAAATGCAGGCGGGCTGACACTAGCTAGTCACCCCCTCCATCTCCTCACCCTCCTCCTTCCCCTCCCCCACACTGCTGCAGGAGCAGCAGAGAAGGGGGGAAGAGAGGAGAGGTGGAGGGACGGCTGCTGGTTGCCTCACACCCGCCACCCCGGTGCCACTCCCTCTGCTCCCCCACACCCTCACAACCTCCCCCCCAGCGGCAGCTGCAGCAGTGGGAACGAAAGGAGGAGGAGGGGAAGGGAAGGAGACGACCCAACACTCCAACACCCGCCATCCACATACCCTCCCCCCCACAGCTGCAGGGAGACAAAGGAGGAGGGGGTGGGCAGGAAGAAAGCCGCAGAGCGGCTACAATGTGTCGGCGCAGGTAGGTCAGGGGCGGCTGCAGTGAGAGCAGGTGCGGAGAGGCCCGTCGCGTGCCACGGGGCGCACGACGGGTAAGTTTAAGGTAAGGGCACCGTCGTGTGCCTCGGGGCGCACGACGAGCAGGGCACCGTCGCGTGCCACGGGGCGCACGACGGGCAGGTTTAGGGCACCGTCGCGTGCCACGGGGCGCGCGACGGGCAGAGTAGGAGTCACTCGCCAACCGGGGGCGGGACAATAGAAAATCGCCACCCGCCCTAGGCGCGCGACCGGAAAAACGTAGCAGCGGAAGCATGAGGCGGGCCCACAGGCCAGGACGTAACTCGCTCAGGTAGCATGAGAAGAAACGAGAATGATCAAGTTTAACTAGGACCTAGGCTTAGGAGCCTAGGCCCAACTAGGATGTCGAGTGGTTTTGTGCCAAGGGTGAGGATCGAGAGAATTGGGAAGAAGAGGTTTCACTATAGGTTTCAAGGAACATATAGCATAGGAAACAAAGAAGGTGCACCACCAAACTAGGTTTATAATAACTACACTAACTACAGCTACAGGCAGTTACAAATATAAGTTCTGACCATTTCTGCATGTCGCGCCTCGAATGTGGGTCCCAGGGCTCAGGTTTGCAGTGTAATTTACCCTTCTATACTGATAAGAAGGGTGAAATTTTGGCTCAACACTGATGGGCTGGGGTATTTTTTTTTGTGAATTAGTGTTACACTGATCTGTAAGTGTATCGTTGTAGGCCACACTGATGCCTTAGGGTAATTTTCTAGTTATCGAAGATTACACTGGAGGGCGTACAGACCCACCCCCCCCCCCCAAGCCTTCCCCCTTTCTTTTCCCCGAGACTTGTCAGAGCGTAATTTCCGCTAGTCACGCCTTCCGCTAGTCACGCCCTGACGTTATCTTCCGTTCTGTACGTGCGTTGGCCACTATTTCCCTTGCCAGCACGACACTGCAGTGTACGGAAAAATGCCACACTGATGCTGCATGGTGAAAATTTCAAAAGTTTATGTTACACTGCTCTAACAGTGTAATGAAAATTTACACACTGCTCAGAAGGGTTTTAGAAAATGCTACACTGCCAATCGTGAGTAGGCCAAATCCAAAATGAAGCCCTGGTGGGTCCAAATTTCTGACCCACAATTCCTCTCTGTACTGGGTGGATTCACTTCAACCCACATGCCTTTGCTCCCTCATGAATCCTCCGGCTATCTCAACCCCTTGTGTTGCTTGTGTATAGAGTGAAAAGCTTCACTGCAAGTTGTCTGGTTTCCAGAGATCATCGTAACTGTCATTTGTGGTGCGAAATTTACGATCGAAAAAAACGATCGTTTTTTTTTCACCAAAACACTACTAATCAATATTGTCGTTTTATTCCGTTTTATACGATCGTAAGTTTCGATATCAAAAAAAACGACAAAAAAATGAAAAAACAAAAAAAAAAACGTCGCTTTTTTGCACATTGCCACGCTCCCCTGCCCTCACACTCTCTTCTCACTTCATCCTTCTCCTCCCCTCCCTCCCTCTGCTGCTTCTCTTCCACCTCTCACCATCTCCTTGCACCCCCCTCGTTGTCCATCCGTGCATCAGGGGGGAGCCGACTTATCAGCACCAGCAGCAGCACCAACACCAGCAATCCCAGCCACAGCGGTACACAGCCGTCCATTCTTGTGGCGGTGGTAGGAGGACCCTTTAGCTGCCGTGACATCAAACAGACGCAGGTACTTGGCCCCACATTCTTTGCACCTCTCCCCGTACACCGATCCATGCAGCTCGGATGGACGGTCTGATGGCATGCCACTTCGGGTGAAGGCCGTCCAC